TCAGCCAGGCCTAGCGGGGCATGGTCAGCGGAGTCAGGTGGCACTGGCTGGAGCTGCCACCAAGATAAGAGATGGCCTTCTTGGTGCTGAGCCAGGCCCCTCCGGCCAATTTGTGCCCTTTCCCAAGATGGCATCTGAGCCTGCCCAGGCCCGGCGTCAGGAGGCGGTGCTTTGTTTATCCCCATCCTGCTGAAAGTGGCGTCTGCTTTTCCCTGCACGTGGCCACCCAGGCCCCAAATGAGGCCAGCCTGCTGTGACTAGCCTTGTCATCTCTTTGGGACCTCAGCTGCCCCAACCCTAAAATGGAGAGGGAGGTCAAGATATGAAATTCCCACCAAAGCAGCACGATGAGGTCCAGGTGAGGAGAGAGACTCTGTCTCGTTTACTGCTGAGCTCAGAGCAAATGCTCAAAGATGTGACAGAGGAAATACTCGGCTTAGGGTCCCCTCCAAACGCTCCGAGCGTGCTCCCTGCCTGCACACACAGATCATCTCCAGGAGAGGCAGAGAGAGACGAGAAGGCAGCTAATTAACCATTGGCTCTTTATTTACAGCTCAAGAGAGCGCATGCAACACGCCATCACAGGACTACAAGGGCATAGCACCCCCCTCCCCCTGCTGCCCCCACACTTTAAAGAGGAACCACAGCACCCCAGGGAAGTTCCCAAGAGTCAGAAAACCCAATGACTGCGACTGCAGGGGTAGGGGGGCACCCCAGGGCTCCACTTGATTTCCTCTGAAAATAGACACTCCCAGCCCAGGAGGTAGGGGCTCAGAGCCTGGGAGTTTGTCACTGCTGGTTATTAACCAGGCAAACCGGATCTCCGATTTGCCAACTCACACCTGAAGGTAAATGCCCTGAATCATCCAAAAGTCCCTGACCATCCAACTTTTCTGTTTCCCCTTATGGATCATAGACCTGGGTGTCTCAAACTTGATCGTGCCCAAGAATGGCCTGGGGACTTGGTAAAACCCAGATGGCTGAGGCCCACCGCCCGAGATTCTGGTTCAGCAGGTTGGGGATGGGGCCCGGGACCCCGTGCTTCTGCCGAGCTCCCAGGTGATGCCCTCCCTGCTGCTGGTCCAGGACCACACTGTGAGTAAGGAGGGACTAGGAAGCCTCTTGCACCCAGAAGAGGCTGAGGATCCTGTGTCAGACTACCCGTCCTGGCTTAGAATTCAGAAAACACACTCCCTGCAATGAAGGTCTGTGGTTCTGCAAACCAATTCCTGCCGCCCCCCTCCCTGACACACACACACACACACACACACACGCACGCACACACGCACTCCTGTCTCCCAGAAGAGGAAAGGTGATCGTGGAGGTGACGGCGCCAGCCCCAGGAAATCCTAAATGGTTTGCTTTTCCGGCTCCTCTCGGTGTCCCTCCCGGCACCCACTTTCCTTGCTCTTCTGTTGTCTTATAAACACATTCCTTGCAGGTTACATGTCAGTTCACTGACTCTCCTGCTGCAAAGTGGATCCCATGCAAGGCTGTGCCCACCCTCTCAGCACTAGATTTTATTCGGTGTGTTGAATATGGCTTCAAGCGAGGATCCATCTCCGCGGTGGGAGGGGTCGTGGCCTTGGGATTTGACTTGTGGTTCAGTCACCCCTCAAGGGGCAAACGAAGCTGTCACTTTTCCATGAGGCTTGTCCCTCATACTCTGTGCGCCTCAGCCCATTCCCAGCAGGCTTGGGGGCTGCTCTTCTCATGGCCGGATGAATCCCAGAAAGGAGTCCCGTGGGAACCGTGTGCACCTCTGGGGAATGGCATAAGACTCCACAGAAGGAATGCAGGAGGGCACGGGCCACCCGCCCAGCATCTACTGGTTTCCACTTGGCCTCCTGCTCAGCTCACCCTCTGGTTGTATTTTTTTTGAAACTCATGAACCCCACCCCAGACCAATACCACTTATACCTCCTCCCACTCTGCCTCCGCACCCAGGATCTGTACCTGCTGCCTCGGGCTGAGTCCAGAATAGTTTTCCAAACTTCTTTGACCCCAGAACGCCACCTTCTCTTTCCTACAGGAGCATCTCCTGGCCCCAGTGTTGCAGGGGAAGGAGCCTGAGTGGTGATTTTGACAGATCATTGTCAAAGAACAGACCACCTACCAAAATTACCCTAGAAAACAAACTAGCCAACACTGGGAGCTTATTATGTGCTTGGCACTGTTCTAAACACGCTATAAGGATTTTACGTTTACTTCTCACAACATCCCTATGACGGGACAGTCATTATTCCCATTTTACAGATGAAGAAATCAAGGCACAAATAACTTTCCTAAGGTCACCACGGTGGTGAGAGGTGGAGCAGGCCGTTTGTCACCAGCAGCATTCCCACAGTCTGGAGGACGAGGGCAGAGTCCATGCCCAGCTGTACATTAGGGTTGCCTGGGGGAGCCTTGAACACACACAGAGCCCAGACACAGCCCAGACCAATGAAACCAGCACCTCTGCAGGTGGGCCTGGGCATCATCAGTACCTTTGAAAGTTCCCTAAATTATTCTAACGGGCAGCCAAGTTTGAGACCAGTGGACTGGAGCACGAATCTGCCAAATGATAGCCTGTGGGCCAAATCCAACCCGCCGCCTGTTTGGGGGTAATCTGCGAGTTAAGAAAGGTTTTTACATTTATAAATGGGTTTTAGAAAACCAAACGAAGGATAGTAGTTTGTAACATGTGAACATGATATGAAATTCACATCTCAGCTTCCATGAGTAGTTTTATGGGAACAGAGCCTAAAATATTTACTTGCCCTTTATGGTAAAAGTTGGCTGAATCCTGGATTAGGGGGAATTGACTTCTGTACTAGCCAAAGAAATCTGAGATAGACCTAAGGAAGAACTTCCGGGCGGAGAGGTTTGTTAAACACTGAGGAGGGCTCTGGGATCTCTAACTCTGGGGTTAGGAGGTTTTTACCCACCCGCCTTTGCAACCACGAAATGAAGGTAACTAGGGCAAAGAGCTAGGGCCTGAAGGTCCAATCGCAGAACTCCCCTGCTAGATGGGGATGGTTCCATGGGGCCTTTCAGCTTTGTCCTGACCTTCTGTGCTTTCCATTGTTGATGCCCCAGGGCCATCTGAACTGTTACCCCCCAGACATATGCGATGCCAGACATAAGCAATGCTGTGTTTCCTGCCTGCAGCCCACCCCCCCACTTAGGGTTCTATCACATTCTCAAATCAGCCACCCCCAGTGAAGCTCACACAGCATGGGTATTGTCTGGTGTAGTCTTAGACAAAACTGCTGGTAGGTTTGATCTCCAAATAGCCGTCTTTGATCTCTTTTAGTTCCTCTGCCCCACCCCCACCCCTAAGATTCCTTTGCCCATAGAACTTGAATAGGGAGACATGAGCAAGGGTATTTGGTCTCTCCTCAATCTGTCTGCTTTGCCTGGTGCCAGACCCCTGACCCTGACTGATTTTCCCATGGAGTAAACAGCCCTGGCATCGAGGGTGTGGTTCCTCTGGCAGGTGTCCAGGCCAACGAGGAATTTGGATGGGGAGGGCTTTTGTCATTTGCAACCTGGTTTGCCCTGGACCAGAGGGCTGACCAGGAGTGAGGTGCCAGGTGTGGGGGTGGGGGTTTAAGTGGCTCTCCTGGGGTGGCCCCTAGAGCCAGATCTGCTGGGGTAGATGTTCTGGGTGGGCATCGTGGGTCTAGCTTGTGGGAGGTGGTTTCAGAGAACACCTTGACCTCAGAGGTGCCCCAATGCCTCAGTAGGCTCTGCTGCAGAAGTGTGGGGTGGGGGGTGGGTCTAGAGATGGTCTGTGGGAGGCCTGAAAGCCACTAAGGCAGTATGCAAAGTGGGTGCACATGCATGATGTGTGCATTATTTTGAGCCCATGTCGGCATTCGATTCTCAAAGGGCATGAACTACTGTGAAACTAAAGAAGCTATAAGAGCAACGTCAAAGTGCATGTCCTGGGACTGGGTGAGCAGAGCCACGGAAATAGAAGGAACAGCACTATCGTTTCCCCCAAACACATCCTATCTCAGATTACCAGCTCCCAGAGGGCAGCGGCCAATCTTCCCAAATCATGCCTTACCAGCAAGCAGGGGCTTAATGCAATGCTTTGTTTTTAAAGATGCTACACCTTTGTTCAGGGAAGGAAGAGAACAGCCTGTTACTGCAGACCTCACCACCGTGAAAGGAACTCCCAGGGAGGGCTTCTTTCTCACTGAAAGCCATGGAGAACTTGGAATAAGTCCGTGGTTGTGGAGGAGCAAGGATGCGGGCCCAGGAACCCGACAGGCTTGGCCCAGGTGCAGATTCCGGCTCGGGCATTTACTCCCTAGGAACCTGGGTGCTCTCGGAGGGGTTCCCGCCAGCAGCAGCAGCATGCCCCCGAGAGCTTGTTAAAAATGCAGAACCGACCCAACCAGACTCTGCATGCTACCCACATCCCAGGGATTCTTACACAGATTAAGGTTTGAGGAGCACTGATCTGGGACCCTGGACAAGTCCTAACTAACTGCCTCGGTTTCCTCACCGGTAAAACGGTGATAATGCCTCCTTTGAAAGGTCATTGTGGTAACTAAATGAGATAACGTACGGCACGCATTTAGCACAGGGCCTGGTACATACAGGTGTTCCGCACTCATCTCCTGGGGTGCTCGGTCTCTCTGTTTCTTTCCCTTTCTTGACGCGCTCAGAAACCTCTTCGTTGTGTGACTTGAAGCGGTTGCAGTGCTGAGGTTGGGCAGTAGAGGGCACTCTCGACATTGCCAGCGCGGAGCACCAGGCCACCGGGAGGCGCGGGCCTTGCGGGTCCTCCCGGGGCGGGGAGGTGGGCGCAGGTGTGCTGCAGCTCGGCTCCTGGGCCAGGGCTCCTCTCCCGGGGCTGAGGGTCCCGGGCTCGAGCCTGCAGCCTCGGTCATCGGGTCCCCCATCTGAACTCCCACTGCTAGTTCTAAATAAATCGCCCGGCTTCTCCAAACCTCGGCGCGGGCGCCAGTCCCCAGGCCGGTGGGGAGGCGCCTCCGGCAGAGCCGCTAGACGTTGATGAAGGATCCCTGGTCGCCGTTGGCCGTCTCCGGCTCCACGCAGCGCCCCTTCCTCCGCGTGACCCTGCGGTTCCGGTGGAATTTGGCGTAGCAGCGCAGCCCTGAGCGAAGAGAGGCCAGGGGGTCAGGGGCGCCCACCGCCAGGGCCCTCCCTTTCCTTCCTTGCGCCCTCTGGGACTCCCTGCACCCTCTCACCACCACCCTACGCTGCCCTACAACCCACCCACTCTCCCAGGAGAGGCTGAATGGGCTTTAAAAAGGCGATCATTGGGGGAGAAGGGAAGGATGAACAGATGGAGCACGGGGTCTATTTAAGGCCCCCCAAACTATTCTGTGTGATACTGTAATGGTGGGTACCTATTACGATGCATTTATCAAAACCCATGGAATGTACAATGCAGATAGTGAATGCGAATGCAGATTATGGACTTTATCAAGGTCGGTTCCTCCACTCTAAAAGCCGAACCACACTAAAGCAAGTAATAACAGGGGGACTGTGCAGGGGGAGAGGGTATATGAAAACCGTGTTTTCTGTGCCACTTTTCTGTAAACCCAAAACTGCTTAAAAAAAAAAAGTGGTCTATTAAAAAAAATTTGTAAGGGAATGCAGAGTCTGCTCTCCCCTATAAAACCTCCCGTGGCCCCCCCTTGCACTCAAAAGGAAATCCAAACTTCCTACTCTGGCTTACAAGACCCCCTGGGACCTGGACCTGCCTCCTGTCTGCCCTCTTCACTTCCCACTCCCCTCTTCATGAGCTCCAGCCACACTCAGTCTTCTTGCTTTTCCTCAATAGCCCGCCATGTTCTGCCTCAGGGCCTTTGCACTTGCTGTTCTTGCAGCCAAACTCCCCTCCCCAAGCTCTTTGCATCACTGGCTCCTTTGTGGCCCCAGCCATGTTCTGCCTCAGGGCCCTTTTGGCCCACCAGTGGGAGGGTTTCAGAGCTGAAGCTCTCTCTGTCATGACCACAGGCATCCCCTGAGATACATGGGTAGACATAATTTTTATTTAAGGCCTCAGAAGGCCACCTCCTCTTGGTGGTGGGGGCAAGGGATGTGAGTGTGGCCTGAGCAATCCCTACACTTCAGGTTAGGAGTTGACCCCAGGGAGAGAGGACATTGATACTTGAAGGTTCACTTATGTCACTACCAAGAGAATAAAGGAACTGCTGTGAAGTTTGTGCTTAGGGGCCTAGAATTTACACCTGGGTCACTGGGCATCTAGACATGAGGTCACACAAGTGACACTTGGAAAGGGGCAGGGGATTCATGAGCAGGAGTGCTTGGTTTCCACAGAAGCCCTTCCGGAACCCTCCACAACTCAGGCTGGCCTTGACTGCTGGACTTCAGCCCCGCGCCCCCAGAAGTCCTCAGGACTCTTGCTCCTCATGAGGGTTCCTGGCATCACCTAGATCCCTCTGGTGTGGCATCTTGGTGACAGCCTCCTCCTGGACCAGCTTTAATGAGCTGCCTGAGCTGTCATTTCCATTCTTCTTTTTTTTTTCTGGAGCCTGAGTCTCCAGGGAGGAAGCAAGAGTTTCCTCCAGGACTGACCAGTGCCAGAGGGATCAGAGGAAATGAGCAGACAGGGCTTTGGAGGCAGATATATCTTTTGGATGCCTGCAAAGCTGCTGCCTCCCACCCAAGGTCCAGGGGAGGAAAGAAGGAAGGATTCCTGGACTCAGTAGGGCCACATCCCCCTCGCCTGGGTGCCCGGGTTGGACCTGGAGGCCAAGGACTGTGATTGGGCCTCAGCACTGTTCTGGACTCCATGGACTAGAGTGCCCTCTGGCCCGCTCCACGCCTCAGTCTCCTGCTCTGTGAAATGGGTCCCCAACCCTGCACACAGGTAACAGAAGATAGTTTCCCAGCATCTCCTGCCCCTCCCACCCCTGCCTGCCTCCGTCCCCTCACCTCTCCGTCTCCACTCCTGCCCCCCAGAGTCCTGCAGCCAGACCATGTCATTCTCCAGCTTAAAACCTGCCTGTGACTTCCAATTATAAATCAAAAGATCCCGTGTGATCCTCCCCACCAGGTTCTCCCACCTGGCCCTGGGGCCACCTTCTCTGTTGGCCACTGTGTGCCAGGCCCACTCTAACACGCCAGCCCTGTTCCTGCCTGAGGTCCTGGCTTCTGCCCTGCTTCATGCCTGGAGCTCTCCCTCCCCGCACGCCCATTTTCACCTGGCTGGTTCTGCTGTCCCCTCCTGTCTGTCCTTTCTAAAACAACTCTGACTCCTCATCACACCACCCTGATTTTTGTTACAGCCCTTATTTCTTTCTAAAGACATGTCATCCCTGGATTTGCTTACTATCTGCACATCTCACTAGAATGGAATCCGGAGGGGCAGTTTGCCTGTTCTCTTTGCGGCTGAATCTAATCTCAAGTCTCCAGAATGGTACTGGACACATTGTGAGCACTCAATAAATATTTCTTGATTGACTAGACCCAAGTAGCTTTATTGCTTGCACAGCAGATAATTTTTGAGGCTCATATGAGCAAAAATAGGGCTCGTATCTAAGGACGGTTAATAGAAGGACCAAGATCAAATTCTCCAACTCAGGGCATGTGAACAACCAATTAGCTACCGAATGATACTGAGTAATTATTGTTCATGTTTGTTTGGTTTTTTTTTGTTTTCCTTAGAGAGAGAGTGTGTGTGTGCGAGCAAGGGGTGAGGGGCAGAGAGAGAGGGAGAGAGAGAATCCCAAGCGGACTCCACACTCAGTACAGAGTCCAACACGGGCCTCGATCCCACAACCCTGAGATCATGACCTGAGCCGAAACCAAGAGTCAGATGCTCAACCGACTGAGCCACCCAGGTGCCCCGGTATTTTATTTTTCAAAGAGTACTTATCTTTTAGAGATATATACTGAGGGGCGCCTGGGTGGCTCAGTCGTTAAGCGTCTGCCTTTGGCTCAGGTCATGATCGCAGGGTCCTGGGATCGAGCCCCGCATCGGGCTCCCTGTTCAGCAGGAAGCCTCCTTCTCCCTCTCCCACTCCCCCTGCTTGTGTTCCCTCTGTTGATGTCTCTCTCTCTGTCAAATAAATAAAATCTTTTTTTTTTTTTATAAAAAGAGAGATATATACTGAAATATTCACAGTTGAACGATCTGTAAACTCCCCAGAGTTGCTTCAAAATCATACTGGAATGGGGAACTGAGTGGGGGAGAGACAGCGCAGACTGGCAGTGAGCTGGTAAGTATTGAAGCTGAGTGATGGGAAATGGGGGTTCATTATTGCAAACATGCGTATTTGAAGTTTTTCAGAATATAAAATTAAAAGTATTCCCCCACTTTTCTAGCTGTGTGAGTATGGGCAAGTCGCTTAACCTCTCTGTGCCTCAGTTCTCTCAGGTGTGAAATGGGGATGGTAAGAGCTCCTTTCGTGGGATGGTTGTGAGGATGATCATAATGGGAGTGAAGTGCTCAGCACAGAGCCTGGCACACCCGCGGGGGCACACCTGGGCAGGAGGGCACGCCCGCTGCAGGTGGGAGCTCAGGAGAGCTAAGGACATAGCTGGCCAAGTGCATCCCCCCTGGGACAGGGCTGGGAAATCCACCCCCCCAACCCCTCATTCTCACACTTGGAATGCCTCCCCTGGGGTAGAATTCTGGTGTACCAGCCTTCTCAGATTTGATCTTATATAAAGAGATGTGCGCCTCTCCTCCCTTCTCCCACCCCCAGATCCTAGGAGATCATGCCAGCTTGTATTTCAAGAGGCGAGAAAATCAAATCTGAGAAACGATGCCAGGAATCAAGACTGCATGAGTTCACAGACTGGGAAGGCACCGGGCAAAGCTGTTCTTGCTCATGTCTTCAGCTCCTGAGGGATCCCCCTGCCCTCTCCTCTGCCACAGGCCCCTGGGCCTGCCCTGCGCCCTCCACAGGGAAGCCTTGGCCCCCATTCCGCGCAGAACCAGCTTGGAGAAGAAGGGGTTTAGTGGCCCTGGGAGCATAGGGGCACCCCCCTCCCCGAGAGAGTGGAGCTCACCTTCCATACACATGCAGTCATCAAAGCATTTGTTGTTGAAGCCGCGGTTGTGGGGCGTGCAGAGATGCTCTCGCAGGTCACAGCAGGTGCCTGCCCACACAGCAAGGCCACGGTCAGCGGAGCTGCCTGGACCCTCACCGCCCCCCCACTCCTCCGGCCGACGTGCACAAGGCCCCGCTGGACGCGAGATCCATCATTTCCATGCCAAGGCCGTGCCCTGGCAGGGTGCGCCATCTGATGCACAAGGCTCCCTACCGGGACCACCGAAGGATAGCATGGCCAGGGCCCCCGGGGGGCCGGTGGCAGAGACCTCAGCTGCCCCAGATGGGCAATTGATAGATCATGGGCGGAGCGAAGGCAGTGTGGGATGGCCTCCCAGGGAGAGGGGGCGGAGCAGCTGGCGGGGGTGTGAAATCAGCTTGGAGCTGGGAGGGGCCTCGAGGATCATTGCCGCCAACGTCTTCTTTGACAGATGGGGAAACTGAAGCCCCTCGGGGAGCAGCGGGAGGGCCCCAGGGAGGCCCCAAGGAGGCCTGAGGCAGCGGTTCGCCCCCCACAGACCCAGTCAGCTCCTAGGGCGGCTGTCCAGTTGGCCCAAACTCAAGCCTTTTCTTTCTGCTCAGGGTGAAAACAATGGTTTGGAGAGGCAGCAGCCTGTCCGGGAGCTGGTGGTCTGCCTTAAACAGCGCCGAATTGTTGCTTTGGTTGCTATTTTGTGGAATATTCTGGCCGCTGAATTAACAAGCATGGCACTGTGGAAGTGGGCCGCTTGGGTCTTCCCCCCACCCCCGTGCTGTCCGGAGGTGAGGACAGCAGTGAGCTGGCGGCCTCCAGTATTAGCACCTTCAGAAGCCTCCGGGCCGATGTCACACTGGTTCCCCAGCAGCCCGACCCCCCAGCAGGGGGACCAGGGCCTGGCCCGTCCTGCCCAACGTGGCCTCCGTCAGCAGGCAGTCTTGCTCTGGAGCTCCCCATCGGGCTGAGACTGCATCACAGGTTTCTGGGTCCATTCCTGCTTCCTCCCCCCTTTTGCCATTCACAGGCCTTCCCTCTTCCCCCAGAATAAACCTCCTGCACTTGGAACCCCACCTCGGTATCCGCTTCCGGGGGGCACGAACCGACCCAACAAGGGCCAAGGGCCAGCAGTCCCAATGTCAGGCCCCTTGTGTGTAGACTGTAATGGGCGCAGCTGCTGTACAGGGAGGGTGTCATGACGGCATCCCCCCACCCCCCACCCCAACAAAGCCCGGCAGTGTCATAAGGGGACAAGGACAGAATTAAGCCCGAGCAGGTGTTAGGAGGAAGAAGTCGAGAGAGGGCTCATCCTGACTTGAGACAGCATGGGGCAGGGGTGAAGAACCACACAGACCCAGGTTTGAGCTACCTCCTCGCTGTGTGACCTCAGCCGAAACACTCAGTCTCTCTGAGGTTCGATTTCCTTGCCTGAACACTGGGGATGAGAGAGGCCCTTTCTCGGGGTTGCTATGAGGATTTAATACAGGACGACAGCAGCTCTCAGTGGAGCGGTAGCCCTGATTGTTATCATTTGTCCTCCCTAAAGGGTCAAGGACCCACAGGCCCTGCTCGTGGGCCTGGGAACAGCCCCACTCCTGCACAGGCTCCCCCGGCACCCAGCCTCCTGCTCTGAACGTGGATGCTGCTTGGGTACCTGGCAGGCAGTCTTGGTGATGGTCGCATGGCTCCCCTTCAGCTGGTGATGTTTCGTTACCATCGCTGGAGAGTTTACCCCGGTGTTTCTCTGGGGACAAGAAGATGTGTCGTCAGAAGCTGACACCCAGCAGAGCAGAGAGACTGAGCACAGGGGCTCATACCGCCACTTGCTCTGTGTTGCGTGGATAAGACTCTCTACCTCTCTCTCTGTTTAGTCTTCTCCTCTCTAAAATGGGATCAATAGCAGGGTAGACCCAACAGCTCGTTTCTCAGGGGAAAATGAGTTGGTAGAGGAAAACATTTGGCCTGCGATCAGCACTTGATAACAGCATTTGCATTTTGGGTGTTAGTCCCAGTTTAGACTCCATGCCCTTCCACTCTGGACATCTGTAGGTCAGGGCTCACTGGGGCCCCCACCCCAATAGACAGTGGGTGGAGGAGGGAGTCCACGCATGGGGTGGCTGGGGAGGTGGACATACCTTTCTTCTTAGCAGAGGGCCAGACTTCAGGTTTTAAGTCTTCATAATCAGTCCAGTCGAACAAGGCCATGTCCAGTGTGGGCATCACCTCCCCATCAGGCCTGGGCTGAGCCTGCCGAAGGGGCATGGAGAAGAGTGAAGTTGGAGCTCCCAACAGGTGGGAGCAGAAATGTGGGACCCCGGGGCCAAAGGGCAAAGGAGGGACTCCTCAGAGGCCAGCTTGTCCCCTGCTGGGCAGCCTGCAATCCCAGCCCCAGGGACAGGGAACAGCTGCCTGAGGCTCAAGCTCCAGGAGCCACCATCCTGTGGGATGGTATGGATGCAGGCGGGTGAGTTATCCCTTGGGCCCCTGGGGGAGGGGCTGGGAAAGCAGTTGCACCTGCGCAAGGTTTCTACACCTGTGTTGTTGAGGGGAGCTGGATGAAGCCAAGCCATTCACTTCCCTGCCCCTTCTCTCCTCCGCAAAAGTTATTAGCTCTCTGTGGCCCATGAGACCACAGCTCAGCTGGGCTCACAGCCCTGGCCAGCAGTCTCGGGGCTGGATCAGCACACGGTAGGACATGGGCAATAAAGGCATCTTCTAGGGCTGGGTTCTCAACCAACGGGCTTCCGGGGGCCTTCAACAGTGTGGATTGCCATGTATTCCTTGGAGATGGTCCCTAGCTTTTATCAGACTCTCAAGGGCGGGGGTGTGCCTGGCTGGCTCAGTTGGTGGAGGATGTGACTCTTGATCTCGGGGTTGGGAGTTCAAGCCCCACATTGAGTGTAGAGATTACTTAAAAATAAAATCTTAAAATAAAAGAACCTCAAGGGGGTATGAGACCCAAAAGGGAATAAGAATGATCTACTGCTTAAAAAGTTTTATTTCTTCTATACATATACTTTACTGATCATCTTTTTTTTTTTTACTGATCATCTTAAATAATTTTATTTGAAAAAAAATTCAAAGGGGTGCCTGGGTGGCTCAGTCGTTAAGCGTCTGCCTTCGGCTCAGGTCATGGTCCCAGGGTCCTGGGATCGAGCCCCGCATCGGGCTCCCTGCTCCATGGGAAGCCTGCTTCTCCCTCTCCCACTCCCCCTGCTTGTGTTCCCTCTCTCGCTGTGTCTCTCTCTGTCAAATAAATAAATAAAAAAAAGAAAAAAGAAAAAAATCCAAAGCCACGAAAGGGGTCCAAGAAGGATGCACCTCTTGTTGATTTTTTATTTATTCATTTGAGAGACAGAGAGACTGAGCGTGAGCAGGACCGGGGGGGAGGGGCAGAGGGAGAGGGAGAAGCAGACTTCCTGCTGAGCAGGGAGCCCGACGTGGGGCTCCATCCCAGGACCCCGGGATCAGGACCTGAGCCGAAGGCAGACGCTTCACCGAATGAGCCACCCAGGTGCCCCGGGGACATGGTTTTAAAAATTCTCTGGCCTTTTGGGTATGTATCAAATTTTCCCCCGAGGTCCCCGCTCTTTTCCATGCAGAGCCAGCATGATGAGCTGGTGCTTGCTTCCTTGCCCGTCCCTGGAGTGAGCCCCTAGGACCACGCTCTCCCGGACAGCAACAGTACTTTCAGGACAGAGAGAATGCTGGACCACAGCTGAGCTGGACGGGCATCAGGAGCCCTGGTTCAGTGGCCTCAACCAACTCCCTCCCATCTCCGGGCCTCAGTCTCCCTGAATATACTCTGAGGCTGTTCTGGGACCCCTTACCTGGGGCCACAGGGATGTGACGGGCAGGATCAAGGACTCTTCTGTGGCAGGTGCTGCCTCAAAGGTGGTTAGGTAGAGTATGGTGGGGGCCAGGCTGGTGGAGGACTCCTCCATCATGGCATCCAGTGCCTGGTCTTCGGAGGGTTCTGCTTTCTTCATCAGGGAGCTAGGACCTCGGACCACAGCTCGGCCTGAGACACGGAGGGGGAAACACAGGGGCTTTATCTGCTCACCGCCCTGTAGCAGCCCACAGCGAAACTCACATTTCCAACTGCAAGCAGGGAGGTGGCAGGGACCATGGGACAAGCCATCGGCTCAGCCAACATTCCTGCTGTCCCCCTTCCTGGGGAGGTGGAAATGAGGGACTGGGGTGGCAGGGAAAGACGAGGGAGGGAATGTCTTGAATGAACTTGTGGTGTTGTTGGGGAGACAGCCCAAGGATTCTCTCTCTAAAGCAACATTCCTGCAAGTTCAAGTCTGGGTTGGTGGGTGCAGCCAGGGGTGCAAGTGCAACAAATGGGAACTAGTGGGATTAACCACAGAAGGCTTCCTGGAGGAGGTGAAGTTTGAGGCGGGGAGTCACGTGATGAGGCTAAGAGGCATTGCAGTGGGGGAGGAGACTTTGAGAAGGTAAGAGCCGCAGCTTATCACGTGTAAACGAGTGCTTCCTATGGGGTGATAATCATCACCCTGTTTTATTAAGCACCTGCTGTGTGCCAGGCCCCTGGTGTACGCTGGGTCCTGCCTTACAAGCATTATTTCATCTAACCATCGTAGGAACTCTTAGGAGATGGGTGCTTCTTCAGTTTCACCTGCAGGGGAGGAATCTAAAGCACAGAGAGGTTAAGCAGCTTGCCTCAGGACACACAGCCAGAGGACAGCAGAGCCTGGATTCAAACTCAGGTCCATCTGAGCACAAAGCCAATGCTTTTTAACCACTGATGCCACCTTCCAAGACCCATGGGCATTGGGGTAGGTTGCGTGTGATGGGGAGAGAGTGTGCAGGATTGGGGGTGATCAAGAACAAAGGGAATTTGAGAGAAGCTGGGGGGCCCAGGCTCATCCTTACCTCTTTTTCTCAGGCAAGATCTGACTTTAAGGTTGGTTGGGTCCTTTGGGGCCACCTTGCCCTCCAGAAGCGAACCCCAGAGAGTAGAAAGGGGACTTAGGGACCACTGAATCCACTCCATTCCTTTTATGGACAAGGAAACTGGGGCCCAGTCAACTGGAGCGCCACAGCAGGTTAGCAGGGCTGGACCTGGCCTCTAGACTTCCACTGTCCCCTCTTCCATGCACCCAACACACCGACTCCCTTAGGAGGGCCCCCTTGGCCTGACGGAGCTTGGGCCTGGAGCTGAGCCAGGGATGAGTTCATGCTCCGAGGATGCCAGCGTGCCCTCCCCAACCTGAAACGTGACCTCCAGGGGTGGGAGGCTACGTCTAAGCTGGGGTCTCTCAACCGTGTTCTGTCCACTTGGGGGCGGGTTTCAGTAGGCCTGGCAGGGAAGCAAGCCCCAGCTGATGCAGGTGAAGGGGGGGGCCGAGTCTCCATCACTCTCCTCCTACAGAACACTTGCCCCACATTTGTGGAACTTGGTCTGTCCAGGAGGCTGTCTGGTCACTTGAAGAGACTTGGAAGCCGAGGTTGCCTGGTGGCCTTGGGGCCTGGTGAGACAGGAGGAGCCGCCTGGATGGAGCTGCTGGGGCAGGTTTGTTCAAGGACTCAGTGGGCAAAGGGAGGGGGCAGCTGGGGCCAGGGGGCAGTGGGGCCCTCACAGGGATTTGGGGATGTGGGGGAAACTTAAAAGAAGGTGAGCAGGGCTGCAGGGGAGCACCCCAAGAGACACACAGGGCAGAGGCAGGAGGGATAGGGACACTGCATCTCTCTCCCTGGGTCATCTGTGTCGGGGTCGGAGGCCGGTGATTCCACGTCGAGAGCAAGCTGAGAATTAGCTACTGCTCATTGCCCCTGATGCTTGCCAGGTGCCATTCTGAATATCTAAGTCATCTATGAATCGACCCTGAGGGTAGCTGGGGCCATTATCCTCATTTTGCAGAGGGAGAAACTGAGGCACAGAAAGGTGACTTGCCCAGGGCACATGGCCAGTAAGTCGCAGAGTCACAACCCGAACTTGGGCAGACCCAGCGTCAGGTTTCTAAGCGCTTGGTCCCCGCTCTGGGCTTCAGAGTTGATTAAGTGATGTGCTTGGAGGGCACCGAACTAGTGCATCTCAGTTCAGGGCTCATAGTGGGGTGGATTTAGGTCAGACACAAGGTAGAAGTTCCTGATTTAGGAGGATCGTTCATTGTTAAGACGGACCTTCAAAAGCTATGTATCCCTCTCTTCCCCCATTCCACCACCAGGCCTCTCCCAGCTCCCTCCCCTTCCCAGATCACTTTGACTTTTGAGAGACCCCCTCCCCTCCTCTGGGGCCTCACTGCCCGCCCTCTTTGGGGCCTCTGGATATCTTCCCAGGGTCCTCACATCATTGACACTTCACTCACGGCCTCCCCCTCCTGCTCGGAGAGCCCCCTTGGCCATTTGGGTACGACCTTCCCCCATCCCCCCCACCCCTCCCTTCCAGGGCAGGACCCCAGCCCCCGCAGACCTCCGCCACCTCTGTGCAGCTTCAACCTCTCTCTGCGCCTCTTGTGCTCCCTGCTGCGTTTCTTGACCCTCTCTGACGCAGGAGACCTGTTCTCCTTCTCAGGGTAGGGCAGTGCCAGCCCCAGGAGCAGCTCCTTGTCCTGCACCAGGCCTGCAGGACTCTGCCCAGGCAGCAGCTCCCCTGTCCCTGGCAGCCTGGAGGCCTGCCTGGTGGTGGAGACCACAGTTCCGTCCTGGGCCCGGCCGGGCATGCCTGGGCCCCGCTCCTTCTTGCCCAGGCCCCGCCGGCGGTGGTGGCTGGCTGGAGGCATCCACAGTGCTGGGTCCTGGAGGTCGATGTGATTCTCAGGAAGGTTCCGAGCAGGGGTTCCAGGTCCCAGGGAGCCTGCCAGGCTCAGCTCCAGGAGCACCAGGAGGGCGAGGAACAGCATAGGGACAATGTGGGTGCCGGGCCCAGCCATGAGCTCTGGTCTGGAAGAAAAGCAACACCATGAGCAGACAGCTTAGTAGCCCTCCTCCTCTTCTGCTTCACTTCCAAGTCCCCTGGCCCACATTATTAGAGCCCGGTGTCTCTCAACAGGGATGGAGGACGACTTTGCCCCCAGCGGACATTTGGCAATGCCTGGAGACATTTTTAGTTGTCACAGCCGGGCGGGGCTGCTATTCCAGGGGCTGGGGTCAGGGATGCTGCTGGACGCCCCGCAGCTCACAGGATGACCCCACCATGGAGACTTGCCGGCCCAGAGAGACCACAGTGCCAAGGCTGGGAAGCCCTGGTTTAAATAGTTTAAGCAACATCCAGCTTCCAGATGAGTCTAGAATCCCTTTCTCCACACTCACCTCTGCCTTTTGCCAAGTCCCCCAAAATGAGCTGAGTCCTTCCAAGCTCAGAAATAGGTCTGTCATCCCCGAGGCTTGACTCAAAGCGTAAATTCAAAGGAACAGAACAGCCTCTCTGAGCACGTGCCCCAGGCAGGACTCAGCTTTAGTGCTTCGTGGGAATTTATATCACTTTGTCCTTTCGACAAGCGTCCGAGGTGGCTCCTAGCATTTTCTGCAGCAGAAATTAACTGGCGTACTTGGCATTGCATGTCTGTGCTCTGAACCTTGCTCACGGCTGTCCCAAGATGGTGCAGTCATGTCGTTCCTCCTTCCTTTCCCTCCAAGGGCCCGGCAGGTTCTGACCCAGCGCTGTCCCTGCTAGGGCTGAGGAACTCTGGAAGCTTGGCTCTGCCGCCTGCTGGGTGGGGTGAGCTGACCCTGACTTACCCTCGGGATCACCCCCCATTCTCCACCAGAAGTGGGGCCTCCTCCTTTGGGATGAGGGAGCGACCCCCGGATGTCCCGGGAGGACCTCGGAGCTAAGGCTCACGAGCCCTGTGGCTGCGGTGGGGTGGAGTGTCTGCTGAAGTCTGGAGACCTTCCCTGCGGCCCTGCCCTGCGGCCCTCCCCCACGGCCCCCACCTCTGTACCAGTCTCACGGCATCCGGACAAGTTCGGCACCAGGCTAGCCAGGCTGATTGAATTTTTATGGCCTCCCCGGGCCTCCTACGTATCCCATTAGGCAGGCAGAGATGCTTACACAACCATTTCCTTGTGATTTGCAGGCATGGGATCGCCCAGGGCTGAGGCAAGGTTGGTGGGCCTGTGATAATTCCCAGCATCCCTCCCTCCAACCCCCTCGGTTCCTGCAACTCTCTCCCACCTCACCGCTCCCCCCTGTACCCCCACCAGGTTCGTCTTTAGCCAACTCCCAGTGAGGCCCTGGGAATGGGCATGGGCGGGGAGGGTAGGCGGGACAGGGAGGCTGGGGCGCAGCTGGGCTGACCCACTCTGAGGGGGAGAGGGGCCGGAGGGGGGGATTAGTTCCTCCCACCTTGCCTGGTCCACACCATCCTTTATCCTGCTCTCCCTTCATCCCAGCCAGGAGTGTGCTGGTCCTCTGGAGGCCCGGGCCCTGTCCCCACCACTGCCCTCAGCTCTGATTCCTGGAACCATGGACTGAAAGAAAGAGGCTGCCCTATATCCCCTCCCACCTCGGGAGCTGCACGCACGTCCTGGGAGAGCCTCGGGAGCTGTGTGGGACCGTGGGATGGCTTGGGGTGACAACTCCAGTCTCATCACACAGTCTTCCGTTCCTAAGACTATACACCATGCAGCCCCGGCCCGCTCTCCTGGCCGCCTCATGGGCCACAAGAGGATTCTGCCCCCTCGGCCTCACCTCCAGCCTTTCCATAATGAGGGCTCTGGAGGCCCAGCTCGGGCAGCCAGGCCCACGCTCCGGAGCTCCTGAGCAGCTGGGCGGGAGGAGGGGCCCATCCTAAAGGCCTGTCAGTCAAGTATTGTTCTGCTCCCAGGAACCCCTCAAACCCCATTTCCAGGCCTGAGGCAGATGCGGGCTGCTCTCCAGGCTGGCACTGGCCAGACTTAGCTCTCCGTGTGGCTGAGAAAGGCTTTGAGGCTGTGTGGGATGCTGTTCCCCGCCCGGCCCAGCCCTTCTGTCTCGCAGGGACAATAGCCCCGGGAGGAGAAACCCACAGAGCGCCCTCCTGGGAGGGAAGCTTCGGAATCCCCGCTCCTGCGGTGGGAGTCAGTGAGGCAGGTCACTCCAGAAGCGCAGGAAGAGGCCAGCGAAGCTTGCAGAGAAGGAGGGGTGGGCTGAGCCGCGGGCCTGTGCTTGACATGAAGCTAGTCAGTGACTCCCAGAGCCAAGGTCTGAGCTCGCTGACCCGCCCCTGGGGCGCTGTCTCAGGGGATGGCCCCTCCTCTGCAGAGCCCAGAGAGGAAGCCTGTCCCCACACCCTGTGGCATCACGAGCCCATCCGTAGCCATCTCTCTCTCTCTCTCACTGAAGTCCTGTTGCCAAGACTCTTCCAATGGCTGTGGGTCTGTTTAATGTACCCCAACTAATTTCAGGGCCATCTTTGCTTCCTCCCTCCCTCCCTTTGTACCCCACAAATCATGCACGAGCCAGCCAGGGGCCAGCAAGAGGGGGATTTTGGTGTGTAGTGCTGATGCACCCAGGGGGAGCCGTTCCTCTGCCCAGACCTTCTCCGCACCATCCTGCCCCAGACCAGCTCATACTCCTGAGAGATTTCTCTGAGCCTAACCCTTGCCTGCTTAAAACTGTCCTTGGCTCCCTTTTGCCTTCCCATTTAACCATGGACTCCTTACCTTGGCACTCAAGACCTTGTATAATGTGGCCCCGACCTGGCTTTGAAGCCTCGGCTTCTACTCCCTCCCCTTCACAGCCAACCAGAGACTATTCCCTGGGCCCCAAACATACCCCCTCTTTCCTGTCTCTATTCTCACTTGGGCTGTTCCCTCCACCTGAAACAACCTCACCTCTCCACCCCCATCTCCCTCTGCCCTCTGTCCAAATCCTGCCCATCCTCTGGGGTCCATCCCAAATGTCCTCTCCTCCAGGAAGCCTCGCCCGTCCCCCAGTTATGAGTGCTCCCACACAGCCTTGTCCAGCTCCTGAAGACCTCCCGTGCCGTCTCGTGCTGGGGCAATCAGCCTTTTTTTTAAAAAAGGTTCTGACTGGACAGAAAGATCCTACAGGTCTCCATCCCACTCTTCCCTCTGATCCTATCACATCTATAGGACCCTGCAAATAATAGGCACTAACTATGGATCGGGATGGAAGTAGGTTGAGCACAAACTGACAGCCGAGCAGAAGATCACAAATTCTCAGGATGTGTGTGTGTGTGTGTGTGTGTGTGTGTGTGTGTTTGAGAGAGAGAGCTAGTGCTGGAGTGAGGGCTGAGGATCCTGGCACCCCTTTGCCCTGATGACTACATGGAGCCCTCTCTCCAAGCCCACAGGATTTGTACGCAGATCTTGGCACAGTCCAGCAGCCAAGATGCCAGCCTGGCAAAGCGCCACTCAGGAAACATGGGATGCTACAGAAGTGGTGCCAGGGATCCACGGCGATGAAGGGCTCCAATCCATTTCTGTCACTCTGGAAGCCGGTTGGAGGCTGCATCACAAAGCGCCAAGCATCCAGGCAGAAAGGGGCAGCAGGTGCCCACCTCCCCCAGCCCCGCCAGCCCTGGATGGTTCTGCCTGTGGCTTGCTCATCAAGTCTGCTCTTCTGGGCCTGGGTCTGACCCCATCCGCAGCAGCCTGGAGGACAGCTGTGGAGGGACACCAGGACCCGTCCACAGCCCAGAGACGGTCCTCGGCCCTCTCATAACTGAGATCTAAGTGACTTACTAAAAGCAAAACAAAACAAAAGCAAACGTAGTCATCGGATCCGCTGCTTCCTGGGGAAATGTGGGGCCCAGGCTCTCACATGCTGATTTCACCCACTTCTTACAGAGTCCTCTCAGCTACCCTGCACAGCATGCCATTTTCCACATTTTTACAATGAGGAAGCTGAGACTCTGGGCAGGGGGCGGGGTAAGCCACACATCCAAGATGATGCGACTCATGCCACGCACTTAGGACAGTCCTTGCACACCCTGCCCCTGCACTGAGCTTCATCAGGGGTCCCCTGCCTCCCCCTCATAATCTGTTATTGCTGTGAGTGCAGTCAGGGCCCAAGAGAGGGACCAGACACTGGCAGCTGGGGACAAAGGGGAAAGAGCTGACCTCATGTCCTTAAGCTGTCCCTACACGGTGGGGACAGCTGACCTGTGAACTGTTGCCATCCAAAGGCTGCATGTGCAAATGAAGGCAATTAATTGAGCCTGGAGTAGGCTTTGATTCCTGACCCCTCCCCCACCAACAGACTGGCATGTGGGGGCCGGGAGACTGGGGGGACTCCGGCCCCACCTGCCTGGCAGACAACTGTGGAGCTGGGCTGCCCCTGGGCATCCCAGGACGGCTGTAGGGCTCACATTCCTGCTTTGTTGATCAGCTCATCCGCTGCATGGTGGGTTGGGGGATGGTGGGTTGGGGGCGGGAAGCAGGGGGGGAGGTGGGTGGGGGTGGGAGTAGGGCTGGCTGAGGGGCATCTGATGGGGATCTGGGCCAGGAATATCAGTGATGCTCTGATGGAGCCGAGGATTATGGAGCTCAGTCCGGGCTGTGAGCCAGACAACCACCCACTGGGAGAACTTGGCCCATGAAGCCCTCTCCCTGACTCTGGGTCTCCTCCTCACGTGGGAAAATGACACGTCGGAGCCACCACATTTGATAGAGATGTTTCAGGGGTCCTTTAGATGTTTGATTCTGACGTCACTTTTTAAAAAATATATTTTAAACTATTCTGAAAGCTGTAGCAAAAACAGCAGACTCTCAGAGGCGTTCTCTGCTCAAATTTGAACATGAGTGTGCCATCACAACTAGGGTCCTCCTGGGTCACTGAAGAGTGTCCCAGGGATGCAAGGTGAGCAGTTTCAAAGAACTGTGCCCATTTGCACCTACTTATGTACCCACTGCAGGATTTTCTGGACGTGACTGACCAAAGCCAGTTAGAGGCCCAGCCTCCTTGGAACAAGAGCAACCCACAACC